AGATTAATAAGTGACAAAACAAAACCCTGGAAAGACAGACACGGACATTCAGATTAATCTGGATTATTGAACATTTAAACAAATGTTAATCTGTCAACATTACAGTTTATCAAGAAACTAATTCTTTTAAAAAAGAGATGTAGGATTAATTTAGTGGTGAAACAGTAACAGAAGGTCATTTTATGAGACCACCCTGCACCTCCTCCACCTCCTCCACCTCCTCCTCCTCCTCCCTCAGTGTCTTTATAAGCTTCAGTCTCCCTCTTCTCCTCACTCTCCTCACCCTGCTCACCTCTCTGTCACCACACACTGACAACATGCTGGGGATCCTCTGCACTCTCATCACTGCTCTCACATGTAAGACTTTCTTTTTTAGTCCTTTAGACTTCACTTTATTTTCAAACCCAAACCTGTGTCTCATGTCTTTTCTGTGTTTGTTGACAGATGTTGATGCAGCAAAAGTTCTGACCCAGACTCCTGCTGTTCATGCAGTCACTGCAGGACAACAGGTTGTTCTCAACTGTAACATTCAGAGGAATGATGGTAGTAGTGTCTGCTGGTATAAACAGGTTCCTGGTGGAGTTCCTCAGTATGTTATTAGATATTATGACAGTGATAATTCACCAAGATATGGATCAGGATTCTCCTCAGACAGATTCAACTCTAAACCCACATCAGACATTGATTATCAGTTCATTATTAAACAGACAGAGATAGGAGACTCTGCTCAGTATTTCTGTCAGACGTGGGATGACTCTGCTGCTGCAGCTGTATCACAGTGATTCAGACTGTGACAAAAACCTCAGAGAGAGACTCAGCAGAGATCTGCTGATTTCTGATCCACATCACAGTCTCAGTGAACCTGGACTGGTCAACCTAAAAACAAAATGTCAGTTGTAACACTGTAAATATTGACAATAGATTGTCATCTTTCATAGAATGGGTTCAAAAGGAGCAGATTGTGTTAGATTTGTTTAAATAAACAGACCACTTTTCTCTTCTACTGTCGCTTGTCTTCCTTGTCCCATTTTCTTCTTCTCCCAACAACATGCTCTACAGGTACACTGATTGGCTGTAACCTCTGCCCTCATTAGGGACCGTACACAAATCACAACACCATATCTCCCATTATGGGGCAGTTAACAAGTAAAAATAAAAAACAAAGTGCAACTGTTTAAATGACCAAATTATTAATTAGAATTAATATTAAATCATGTTTTAATGTATGTATTTCCTACTAATTTGTTTGTTTAAACTTGTATCAGTTTATTTAACTTTTTATTTATCTATTTAACTCTTTATTTATTTCTTTATGGTTATATTAACCTGGGTTACATCTGGACTGACTTTACAGTCTACTAGAGAAAACCAGATGTTTGGACAGTAGCAGCTGAGCTGTGTCAGTCTGGAAGATGACAGAAACACAACAGTAACTGGAAATACCTGCAGATATTTTTGAAGCTGTCTGAATAAACAAAATAAACACATCACAGAACATGAATTTATAATAAACTTGTATCTTATATTAAATCAAGTCATTAAATGAACTTACATTAATGATGGCGTCCACACGTACGACCTTTGACCTGTGTGTTTTTGTTGATCTGACTGGACTTTATAAACTCTACAGACAACAACAAGTGTTTAACACTAAAGACTGACGTTGATTTAATGACAAAATGTGAAAAAAGAAATAAAGTTTCATGTCAAAATACAGAGCAGAGTTGAAGCTCCCCCACCTCCTCCTCCTCCTCCTCCTCCTCATCCTCCTCCTCCTTCTCCACCTCCTGCACCTCCTCCTCCTCCTCCTCGTCCTTCTCCTCCTCCTCCTCCCCCTCCTCCTCCTCCTCCTCCTC